CCCCCCGACTAACCCTAATCGTTATCTCCAATTCCCAAAAGGATCTCAAGATAGAAGTACCCAGCTCACAAAGTTCTCATTCTCTCACTTACGCTTCACAAATACAGAGATAGCTAGGAATTCTGCATCTGAAAATTCTCTGCAAAACTCCGAGATCTAAAAATCAAACCAAAAAAAAAAGAGATTTGAAAGCTAGCTTAAAATTCTACTCGCATGCTCTACTTTTTCTGAAAATTCAAGTGCGAACAAGCTTGAGAAGTGCGGTTTGCTACTGTTGTTTTTGCCGAATTCGTAGTTGTGCTCCAGCCTTAGTATCCCTCCGGGATAATGTTGCTCAGCTCTCTATTTTTTTTTTAAGACAGATGCGTGAAGCCCGGTCAAGGAGGTTAGTAGTTGGGAACATTTATGTGTTGTATAATGATTTATTAATGCAAGTTACATTGGCCACTGATTGTTATAAACACTAGAATTATTTGAAAATGCATATTTCCATGCACATATAGTAATTCCTTCTATTTTTTGAAAATTTTGTTTGATGGGATTAAATTTGTCTTTTGTTCGCAACTTCGCATATTGAAATCTGTTGTTGGAGGTTTTTCGGATAAAAATGGCTTTCAAATCGTCTCAAACTGGAAGAGTGCATCCTATCTGGTTATTAGAAAATTCAAGTGAAATATAAATAGAAAAAATCAACTTGTCAAATAGTTGTTCTCCATAGCTCTTACTGCTTAGGTACATGGGTAGAATGTCCCTTATTCATTTGGACTTCAATCCTGTTTCTATCAGCATACTACTTGATATCTTATCAGTTTTTTTGTTTTTTTTTTTTTTTTCATTAGTTTTGTTTGTGAATATTGCTTTGTTTGTTCCGTGAAGGATAGAATGCCAAGTTCACTTAGGTTATTATCAAATGTCAATAGATATAAATTACTTTTCTCTCTTTATGTCGCAAATAGGTAGATCCAAATGGGTTCCTATCTCTGTTAGTATTTTGTTGCTTTGCTTTAATGAATTATATAACTTATTTTAGTTGAGTTTATCTTATGAACTTGAAAATATAGAATAAAGAGGCGTGAGTTAAGTCTAATATGGTATGGGAAGTTTTGTTAATGGATTATGTGACGACGGGGTCGAATCGAAGTCGAGTCATAGTCGTTTAATCAAAAACCAGAAAGAGGGTCATGGAAAACTAGTTTTGGAAAAATAATTCTTAATTCGTATAAGGCTTTAGGCACGCTTTTAATAAATCATCGTGACTATGGGTACGGTTCCCAATGCATAGTCATGATACGTAATCCCCAATTCGAGTGTGCGTTTCACGTGACTCGACCATAACTTCAAATGTTAATAATAAAATCAACACATTGTAAATCGCGGGTGCGTTTCACGTGGCGCGATTCGCAATGTGTACAAAAATAAACGAGTGTGCGGTATCGCGGCTTGTTCAAATAAACTCCATAAATAATTAAAAGCGGTTAAAAGCTAAAATGCACAATAGGTTTTAAATATGTATTAATAAGATAATTAGGTCAATTATTAATAGTTGAGCGACCGTGCTAAAACCACGGAACTCGGAGGTGCCTCACACCTTCTCTCGGGTTAACAGAATTCCTTACCCGGTCTTCTGTGTTCACAGACCATAAATAGAGTCAAATTTTCTCGATTTGGGATTTAAAATAAACCGGTGACTTGGGACACCATAACTTATTCCAAGTGGCGACTCTGATCAAATAAATAATCTCATTTCGATTAATGTCACTTAAATTGGAAAAAACTCCCTATCCCCGCGCGAAAAAGGAGGTGTGACAAAAATTGTATTTAAGTTGTATGATATTGTAGTTGTATATAACTGAGTAGAAATAATGTATGAAAGTTGTAGATAAGTTGTATAATATATAATTAGTTATATTAAATTTATTTTTACTATGTATAAATCAGATACAAAATATACAAAAGACATATTGTATAAAATTTGTATAAAAGTTGTATGATATTGTAGTTGTATATAACTGGTAGAAATAATATATGAAAGTGTAGATAAGTTGTATAATATATAATTAGTTGTATAAAATTTATTTTTACTATGTATAAATCAGATACAAAATATACAAAAGACATATTGTATAAAAATTGTATTTGTGTAATAAGGAACAGTGTCAAGAATAGAGAAGTGGCTGAATCTGAAGCCATTTTCATCTATTTTCTTATAAAATTGAAACTTTTTTTGTGAACTTTAAAAGGGTGTATTGGTACTGGTTTTTGGCTTGTTTATTTATAGAAAAAATATGAAGATGTGAACAGACTAATTTTAAGTGTGAAATTGAGGCGCTGAATATTTGGTGATTGGTATTATAATCTAATTCGATATTTTATCCCTATTAGTGTTCTCCGTAAGATGAGGGCCACCAGAGGTGGTGAGAAGAAGAAATGAAACCTGTATCCTTGGTTGATATCAAAGAACCCAGTTTGTTAATTCACTAGCTTTTATATTTGCAATGTATTTTTGTTTTCAAGAATGAAGACTTGTGACTAAAAGTTCCCGATTTATGTTCCATGAAGATTCTGGAATTAGTGACATTTTAGACATTTTTGCCAAAAAAAAAGATATTCACATTGAGAAGATAGTAATTATTGATTTACGTATAGGAAGATTACCGTATATTAAGGGGGGAAAAAATAAGGAAAGAGAAGAGAGAAAAAAGGAAAAGGGTGTAACTAAATCCCTTGATTGAAGGCACAAATAATGAATTAGGAGCCTTTTAAGGTGGATTGTATATATTTTGTAACTAAAATGTGTTTAAGTCGGATAAATACCAAAACATGGACATTTTTCGTAATAATATTTCAAATAGTGTATATGAATGAAAAAAAAAACCATTACAAAACATGTGCAGAAGGAAGATAACAACAACAAATTACAAAAGCTATTTACTAAAAGTTCAACTTGTCAAGAAAAAATTAAAGCATGTTGTTCATATTAGTAAAGATCCTATTAATTCATCCATCACAAATGAATGAAAAGTGAGAATAAATTCCATAACTACTACAAGAACTTGAAAAGCTGTAATTTCGTAAAAATGTTAAACTCACACCCGCACCCGCAAANCGCATGTCTAAACATGCACCGCCCCGCACCCACACCGCCCCATTGCCATCCCTAGGCCTTATGTATAAATCCAAACTATTGGTTGGTATGCAAAGGCGATCTACAGCGAGTTCTGTGAGTTCAACTGAACCTATTGCTTTCAGCTAGAACTATGTATACATATATAAGTTTAAAATGAATACGTATAATAAGATCATACTCATTCTAAATCTACTTTATTGGCATGTGCCACAACAAGTGCATGACAAAGAATGAAGAGATCCTTGTACAACCAAATGACTTTGTACATGTACAACAAAATATACAACTTCAGAACTCAGGAGACACTCCTATGCTAACTAACAACAAAATTATAATAGTTGTCAAACAATGGGATATGTTTATCCTAAATGATATGATCCAAAAATTTGACAAGATTGAGATGAGCAAGCTGTGTTGTTAGCAGGCACTAAGTTTCCTGTGTTGGTTCTTTCAAGAATGGCGCTTCCTGTTTGCCTTTTGTTTCAGTATGAAGTTGTGTTAGCAGGATAGCCTGCAACCTCGTTTCTTTGGTCCGAGTATCCGAGCTCACTTCACAAAACAAATAATCTTCAAATCTTGTTAGGTACTAACCAGCTGAATTCTCAGCATGAATGTCTAATTCAAATCATAATTCGCCATGCGATCTATTTTGAGATTCTCTTCTAATCATTTGAATGAGGTCCTGAACAACTTCTGACACTAGTGGCCTGAATTCTGGCTCATGCTACACACAGATTCAAAAGTTAAGTAAAAAATGTTAAGGCAAACCTATTCAACAACTAAATCTCAGAAATTTCTGCTCGGATCAGCGCACCTCCCTCTCTCTTTCCCCTCACACACGGACACTTGTTTTCGAGAAGAACACAATGGTAGATGATCTTAAGAAAATTCCCTCTCCCCACAAAGCAAGGAAATAATAGAAGGCAAAGAGACTATCTATGTTGTACCTACAAGCTTCAAATTGGAAGACAATGTGGTATTACCATCCTTTTCAAACACCTGTTTTTGAACTTAATATTTCACCAAAGTAGAAAACAAAAGATGGCAACCCTTTACCCCCTACATTAATCGTTCCACCTCCAACATGTAATTATATCCCAAAGTAACACAGTGATACTAAGTTTGTACTACATTAACTAAAAAGGAGTAAGAGGTACCTAATGATTTTAAATTGAAAAGAATACGATTAATCAATCAACTACGCCTTAACAGAAAATAGGGTAGGTCGGCTATATGAATCCTCTATTTCCCTAGGATCTACCGAAGCCCATTTTATATAAGAAAAGCACGATAGATAACATTTTAACTTTTAAGCATAATAATAGATGAAAATTACAAAAAGAAAGTGATAATATTTAAAAGCTTATTGGTTATTTGAAAGTTCGGATTGGTTTTGGTCTGATTCAAGCCAAAGAGTTTATAGTTTTTGTTACCGAAAAGATGTTATTCTGATTTTTCAGAAACATTTTTCTGAAGTTTTTTTGTTTTCAGAGACATGCCCAAATAATCTCATTACCATAAACGCAAATCTCCAATAGGGTGGAATTTTTCACTTAGCAGTTGAGGTAGTAAAAGAAGGAAAGTAAGGTTGAAAATGATTTATCTCAGTTTTCGTCCTCCTACAGAATTTCATACATTGTGAACATGGTAGGACTAAGAAAAATGAAAAGTTACACAAATCTAACTTTTTTTTCTTCGGAAAAGGGCCAAATATATCTGTACTATTAGAAAAGGTTTAAATATACCCTTTGTTATATTTTGGGTCCACATATACCCCTGCCGTAATACTATTGGTTCAAATATACCCTTCTTCCAGTAAGTTTGTCCAAGGTGGACATCCAATCCTACGTGGCATTTATGAGGTGGATGCCACATGGCTTGCCACCTCAACGCCCCTAACCCATTTTACCCCTCCCTTCTATTTTTTTTCCACCACTAAAATTTTCTTCCCCTCCACCACTATTGCCACCATCACCGCTACCTTGAAAAATATTGTATTTCATATTTTAGTCTTTTATATATGGATTAGGGGCATTGAGGTAGCATGCCATGTGGCATGCACCTCATAAAATATCAGTGCCACGTAGGATTAGATGTCCACCTTGGACAAACTTAACAGAAGAAGGGTATATTTGAACCAATAGTATTACGGCAGGGGTATATGTGGACCCAAAATATAAAGAAGGGTATATTTAAACCTTTTCTCATAGTACATGGGTATAATTGGCCCTTTACCGGGTTTTTTTCCGGTTATTGTAGTTGTACAAAGCTGAGAGAAACTTTCTCAACTTTTTCCGAAAATCCAATTCTTCTATTTTTCACCTTATGAGAAGAAGCTAACAATCTTCTATATTACATTGTCCCTTTCATTTTGTATTAAAATATTTTACAAAGGACTACAGAAACAGATTGGCTGATACTTAATTGGCACGGAACCAAGGAATTTATACCCAAACTCTTCTACCTATTGAGACTATGGACAGCTAAGACTATGTCATCCACTCAGAGATTAGATAATGCACAGTAATAATTCAGATAAAGGCATAACATAATAACTCACCTGAACACAGCGAGAAATTATGTCAGCGAAGTGTGATAATGATTTAATGGGGTATTTTCCATTGAGAGAAGGATCGACCATCTTTGTCAAGGCATCAATATCGTGTAGCTGAGGGATTGCCCATCTGACCAAGAACTGCTCTCCTCGATTCCTTGTCCTGAATATGATATGCAATGCAGGTGTGTTATACTCCGCAAAGAAAGGAGGCACAACTAAATTATCTCAATAGGATGCAGAAGGGTTCTTTACCGATCATATGACATTCTGCCTGTTAATAGTTCTAACATCACTACGCCAAAACTGTAAACATCGCTTCGGGAAGTATAAATTCCTGACTCAAATTCTGGAGCACTGTAGCCATAGGTTGTGAGAAGTTGTCCCGACAACTGAAAAATCAGTATAATGTCAACTTGATAGTTTTTAATATACCTTAAACTTAATGCAAAAGTAATCAAACCTCTAAGATTAAGCAAGAGTACTTTATCAAAAGAGCAATAAACAATGTCAAGGTAGCAAGACCGATAATCCACATGCACATTGTGAGAAGAGCACCTTCACCATTTGTTTCTACTGCTTTTTAAATATAAATGAGAAACAATGAGGTCTTTCAAGGAAGTTAAGCAAATTTTCTGTTTCTGATAACCTAATAAAGAAACACCAATATAGTGAACCAGGAGTATTTGACTAGTCTACTATGTTGCTCAGACTCTCCGAAAATGTCGCCGGGTGTGTGTAGCAACATTTTGGAGAGTCCCCGCAACTTAGCTAGTCTAGTGAACCAGGGCCTCTGTTTCCAAATTTATAGGGAAAAGGTGCAAGACTTCTGAGGTTCACCCTATCCAACATCTTGTTGAAAGCACTTTGACCATCACTACTGTACTGTTCCTTTTTCAGTACATAGGGGGAAATTAATAATCCGGGGAATATTCCAGTTCTTTTTCTACTCCAGAACATTAGGGTAGCAAGTTACCTGACTCGTAGCACCAGACGATAGCAATGGAGCTAAACCACAATCTGAAACATGTACTGCCAACTCATCATCAAGCAGAAGATTGGCCGATTTGAAGTTTCTGTGAATAATAGGTGGCTCGCAGACTTCATGGAGGTACCTGCATTCCATAAAAACAAGAATGGTTAATTCAAATATGCTCTAGGTCACTTTTTCATGTAAATCTAAAGATACGAATCAGACTGCTTAGCAATGCTACCCAAATAATTTAAATTTTCTTCATTTTTTCTTGGACAGGCGGAAGCAAAGAAAGGAGTAGCAACAAGCAAAAAACAGCTACATCTGACATTTTATATTTAGTGAAGACTATTCCAGGTCATCATTTTGTGGCCTTCTATCATGCAATATGCACAACACAAGAAAGTTATGGACTAAAATAAGCCTGTGATTGACTTTGTCACTGTACCACAACCAATTTATTGTTTATATTTTTAATAACACTGATTTATCATCTAGAATCACCGGAAGTACTTATTATAGGTTCGTCCCCAAAAATTCTTCGCCCATTACAACTATAAGTAGGAGTTTATACACACACGTGCACGTGCACTCGCACACACGTATGTGCATAAATGTTAAATGTGTGTACTGTTATTTGACTCACTCCAAAGCCCTTGCAGCTCCAAGAGCCATCCAGATTCGAGTATTCCACGAAAGTTGTTTCTTGAATTCATCGTCAGAATGAAGTGCATCCTGTAGTGTCCCATTACTGCAATACTCATAGACCAGAAGCCTTTTGACCATGCTTTGCACAATACCCCATTAGCTCAACAACATTAGCATGACGAATTCTGTCGATATTGTTTACTAGGTCAAGAAACTCCCCGTCCTTTTGTTGACTGCAAACTCTTTTGTCAAGCTTTTTGACAGCAAGCAACTGCATAAGAATCCAAAAGGAGCACGTGTCAGAAGCGAAATGTTGCAACCACTTGAATGCTGTGGTGCACAGTGCAAGAGAAGGAAGAGAAGTAAGATTTGCATACCAGAGAAATCCATATAGTACACCCCAAATAATTTATATAGAGGAAACAACATGCGCATACATATACTTTGTTATTTAGAATTATGACCAGACAAAGATGCAGCTGCATCTCGCTGATCCTCTTATTAAGAGACGGACAAAAATAAGGGTAGAAAAAGATACCCGAACACTAATATAGCTAGAAGGTTGATTTTCAGTTTAACAATTTCAGAATACAGTTACAGGACAAAATTTCGTCAACTATGATGGTCACCGGAAGAAATTACCCCTTGGAGATTAACTCGGGACAAGAAGGAAAAGAAAATAACTGGAAGGATCCTAAAGGGAAAATAGTGCAATTATTGCATCCTTGAGCGGGTGTTAACTAGCTAAAGAAATGTAAGAAACAAGAATATCAGATACAATAGGTAGAATTCATTTAACAGATTTTCCTTGGTTTAGGGAATGCTATAGTAAAGGATACAGGAAAGTGATGTTCCATAGCAAAACCATACTGGTATCACAACCATTCGTAATAAATTTAGTGCTAAGACACAAAAGAACTCTAACAATGTATATATTGACTAGAGTTTAAGAGGTACTTTGATACTACTGGATGATAATTAGCAGTCAAGAATGAAGAATTATAAAAAGTTAGCAGTTTAGACTCTAGACAATCTAGTGGGAGTAGGAAACCCAGTTAATAAATTGGTGCATCATAATAAATTCATGCCGATTGAAAGTTATACCTTCCCATTCGGAAGCTCTGCTCTGTATACACTACCAAGCATTCCTGATCCCAACAGATTATCTTGAGAAAAGCTATTGGTGTATTGCTGAAGTGATGCAATTGTGTAAGATTTCACAGAAGTTAGTGGAAGTGGCCTGGTTAGAGGCTTCACTGCGGTATCTTCAGCAGGTGCAATTGGCTTGACAATAACTCTCTCTTGTGGAAGAGCCGGCAGAGGAGGAGGCGGAGGTGGTGGCATCAAATCAACATCAAATCTGCTAGGGTTTATATCATTATTATCCTTCTTTGGCAGTGCACTCGTGGTTAGCACATTTACCTCCTGCTCACGCGGTGGCTTCGGAATGGGAGCCGGTCTTCTTGGTTGTTTTTCTTTTGGCTTCACAACTACAGGAGCTGTTTAACACATAAGAAACCGACTTATCACTAAAAAATAGAAGGTTAAACTTTGAGATTCACAAACTTTTCAGTTCTAAATGCTGCAAAACAGACTTCCAAACTCATGAAGATTCTACGAGGGCATTTCAAATGACAATAGAAGAGCATTTGAGAGATATCATAAACTAGGGTATTCACACCAGAATCAGAATCTAATCCCAGCGAAGACATAAACACTAGGTGATTTTTTCCCCTCTGTCCAAGCCTTGGGGGATAGAGTTACCTGGTACCTATTGTTGGTGGGAGGTAGCAGGTATCTCGTGGAATTAGTCGAGGTGCGCGCAAGTTAGCCCGGACACCACGGTTATTAAAACATACAACAACAAAAAACCGAGTGAATCCCACAAGTGGGGTCTGGGGAGGGTAGTGTGTACGCAGACCTTACCCCTACCTGGGAAGGTAGAGAGGCTGTTTATACCTTCGGCTCGAGAGGATGATTAGAAGCAAACAAGGTTATAAAAAAATTAATAATTATTAATTTAAATACAAACATCAATACACATCAAATGGAACCCAAATTAAGGTAAGTGTCTTTTTTTCTGTGTAACTAAGGGAAAGAAAGTTGGACTTACTAACACAGTGACAATAGATATCATGAAATAACAATAGATATTGAGTAATTGTAGCACCTTTCTCTATGTCACGGCCAGGTTGGACTAATGAACCACTATCTCCGGGATTCTCTCTGGCACCCACATAAGGAGCTATTTCATGTTGTTTGGGGGTTCTTTGAGTTTCATGCCATTTCCTGAGGCACCTCGGTAGAAAGAGCAGGATCGCTAAAACCAATATTATAAATGTCAAAACTGCTGCAATTGATATCCAGACCACCCTTTTAGCAGATAAAGACTTTTTGCGTCCTGTTGAACTTGATTCTGCAGATGCTGCTGCTGGTGTCTGTGCTGAAGTTGGAGACCCAGAAAAGGGTGGCGCAGAAAGGGGTGTTGTTGATGATGTTGGTGGAGGTAAAGGAGCAATACTACCGTTGAAAGGATTTCCATCTTTTCTGCATGAAAACCAAAGGCAGCAAGCAAACAACAACATCAGCCGTCACTGATCATAATCAACAGAGCATATATAAGATGGTCACAAAATGATCCAACAACTGACACATCATACATCCATCCTTGCATGGAACAAATATGTGTTCAACTGAATGAATAAGATTGCCTGACTTCCATGTAATTTTGGCCTGCCCAGAGTTAAGGGCTCAGTATATGATTAAGGCGGGTGACCTAACTTGAGCTGAGTTCTGGCCACCATGGAATATGAACTTAAATTATGAACAAGTTTAGCCCATGCGCCAGCTTGCTAAACTAAACACTTTGCAATTTTGTTTATTTTGAAAGGGAATACCATACCTTACTTGTTGCATGTTTTCTATTGGAAACAGTCTCTCTATCCTCACAAGGTAGGGGTAAGGTCTGCGTACACATTACCCTCCCCAGACCCCACGGTGTGGGATAATAGTGGGTATGTTGTTGTTGTTTACCTGTTGCATGTTTTCATATGCATATCGTACTCTGCTTTCCGTGTATCTATATTTATATCTGTTATCTAGTTATTGTGTCTGTATGAGTTGCTTACTTCCAAGTTTGAGACACTGACCATACGATAGAAATCATGAAATTAAATGACATGCTTAGCAGGATTGTTCTTTTCATTTTCAGGTAAATTTCTTATTTTGTAATTCTTAAGTTTACTCATTGAGCTGTCACTTATGGGACTACACCGGGTATGTTGTTATTTTTGTACTCATTGAACTGTCATTTATGCTAAGGGCAATTGTGGGATTCATATCCATGTCAGACATTAAGCCTATATTGCTGGTCATTTTGTACGAAATGCTCTTGCCGCATACAAGCACACCCATTTTATTAAGTTTGATTTCAGCAACTTGTAAACAAGAATTTTCTTGGAATGGGTTACTTTTTACGTGCTCAAGCTTTAAGGGAGGTATTGAAAGAGAAAGGTTACATATGTGGTTGTAACCACTGACAAGTAACAATATTGACCTTCAACAGAAATTTGTTTCCACGGTTTCGACCTACATGTCTTCTATCCACGGCTTCGACCTACATGTCTTCTATCCAAGGTTTCGACCTACATGTCTTCTATGATTCTATATCTTCTCTTTTGGGATATGTTACATGTCAGATAATATTTCCAACAAACGATGAGGGGCACAAAAATTTTATATCTGGCCAAGATTGCATTGTGATGTACAGGCTGTTGACTCAATATAAAAAACTGAAAGCACATAACGAGTATATGAAAGAAGAAAATGAATGTACTTACTTGAAATTGGGAATAGAGAACAACTTCTGAGGTATGGGCCCAGAAAACAGGTTGTTTTCCACATTCCTAGAAAGGACACAAGGAGAGTGGAGATATGTTAGTAAGATATCATCATTTTAGAGAACTGAAATAATATTAGAGTCAATTAGTCAAATGTAGTTTTTCAGAGTACAAATCTGCAAGGGGAAGATCCTGCAAAACATCAAGAGTCCCAGAAAGCTGATTATTCTGCAAATGTCTGGAAATAAAGAAGTTTCGCTTTATCATATAGACCAAAGTTATAAACCAAGTGTATAATAAGGTTGAATTACTTACAGAGTAGTTAAGGAAGACAAACTACCTAGCGATGATGGCAATGATCCACTTAAACTGTTACCTGACAAATCACTGTTAAAAGATAAATAGGCGAACCAGTTATGCATATGACAAAAAAAACTAAATGAAAGAATAGAAATGCTTTTGTTTAGCTGTCGTACAGATTGACCAAAGCCGTGAGGCCGTGAAATGAATCAGGAATTTCTCCAGTCAAATGGTTTCCATTCAGAGACCTGACACACAGAGAAATACCTTACCAGATTCTTTACAAAGAAAGCAACTATTAATCTAAACTAAAAGTGAAACTTACATAGCTGAAAGTTGACTCAGGTAAGATAAAGAAGTAGGGATACTTCCAGTGAACTCGTTAGCTGAAAGAAAACTGCCCAAGGTAAAGAATGTCAACTTTTTGCTCAATAAGTAAAGCTAGTTACATCAATGTGTCCTCTTTCGCCCTTCTTTTTTTGTGGTGGGGGGGCGGGGGGTTGTTCCTTCATAGGTCAAATGGTAGAACTTACATATTCTGCAAGGTAACTGGGAGAATGGACGGAATGCTTCCGCCGATATGGTTGTTGCTCAGATCTCTGCCACAAGAGATAGCCACAATTACTGCTCACATTTCATTACAGTAGACTACCACTAAATGGACATATTCTCATAACATGAAATCTTTTGAGAAGCTTACAATGTTTTGAGAGAAGAAAATGAGCCTAAATTATCCCCTAGTTCACCACCCAAGTTAGCAGCATTGAGTCGACTGGAAATGACATGAGAAGTAGGATTAGCATTTCAGTTCCAAATATCTATGAAATGTTGCGGCAAAATGTAAAGTCCTTACATCGTTACTATATTTGTATTTTCGCATATGACCCCTTGCCAAAGTCCATTACATGGGTCTCCACCAACGGTACCCCAGCCCGGAAGGGACGGCGATCCCAGAGCAGCATATAAGCCATTAATTGCAGCAACTTGACCAATAGAAAAAGGAAACTTTCAGTAAGAAATTCCAAACATAAAGAAGAAAGTGCAGAAACTGATCCATGAAACCATATGAAAATTAAGAATCCAATCAAATTACGGAAGACTAACTGCAAACTTTCCTCAGAGGCAGTTAACCAGATCAATAGGCGCAAAAGCTGCTAGTCCTCAACTTTGCAAACCCAATAAAATGTCAGGGCAGTGCAAGTGAAGGTACAAACTTTATTTACCAAACGTAGGAGAAATAATGTAAGAATCAAGATGACTACTTAGTTCAAATGTAAGCGGTGGTGGAGCTAAGTAGAGGGAAGGTGATTCAATTCCAATTCGTTAAAGAATTATACTTTGCAAATAGGGCAAAAACAAATTCTTTGGTTACATATCAATTGTTGAATTCCCTTGAGAAAAAGTCTAGCGAAGTGGCAAAAGGGATCAAATATTGCGTTAAGTCATCGGCAGACATAGTCACACATAAGAACCTTCAGTCACTTGAGTTCAAATTAAGCACTAGCTTAGATAACTACATAGTCACGCATAATCAGCATTGCACAAAACATAAAAAGGCAGCCCGATGCACAAAGCACCCCACATTCACGCAGGGTATGGGGAAGGGCCGCACCCCAAGAGGTGTGATGTAGACATCCTACCCTAATTGGAAATTCCCCTTGATCATGAGAATTTAAATAAGAAATGATAAATAATCCGCGACCGTTCGTGACTTACCATCTCCAGGGTAAGTTTCATCTGAATGTTGAACAGCAAAAACTAATAGAATCCACACCAATATCTCCAAATTCAAGCAGCATACAACAAATCTCTTCTCATCCATGGGCCCAAAAATACAATCTTTTTCTTTAAACTACCCTTTCTTTGGAAAAATACTCTGCATAGCCAATTATACATAAAATTTCCAATCTGCAATACCAATAAAAGTAGACCTCAATGTCAGTGTTTCTCTTAAGCTTAATAATGCAAGATACACAACAGCACACTGAAAATACAAACCCAAATCAAAAAGATTAGAAAAATCAATCAGTGACTAAAAATAACAAATGGGTATCTAAAAAGAACATACAACAACAACAACAAACCCAGTGTAATCACACAAGTAGTCTTGGGAGGTAGTATGTACGCAGATATTACTTGTTTTCCGGTAGACCCTCCGCTTAAGAAAGGTAAAAAAAAGGCAACAACAAGCACACCAACCAGAAAACCGAAGAGGAAATACAAAACTAACACTAGGTACTTCAAATTTCAATCAGAAAATCGAAACGAAAGCAACAAGTAAAATCTAAAAAGAACATAAAAGAATCAAAAAAACAAATTCTTGAGGGGAAAAAAACTAAACTTTTTAGAGTTCAGCAAGGAAAAGTATAGAACAAGAAGAAAAACCCACCAAAGATTCAGTGAATTATGAGGAAATAACAAAAATGGAGGGGGGGTATGATTTCCACACAAAAAAAAACAGACGCTTTTACGCTGAATTAAGCAAAAACAAAGAGGACTAAGGACACGAAAATGAAGTTTACATAAAAGTAAGCAGTGATTAAGGACCCAATTAATGTGAGATTAGTCTTACCTTTGTAATTGCTGAAAAAAGAAAAGAGTAAAAAGCTAAGCTTTAGAAAGTTGCAGACAGACACTGAAACTTTTCTTCTTTTCCCAGTCAGTGAGTGAGTGGAAGCCATAGATAATCTGATTTTGAGTCACTTTTAGGAGGTAAAATTCAATACCACGCGCGATAGTAGTGCGTGATTCTTCTTTCTTCTTTTGTTTCTTCTCTCGTTTTCTCTTCCAACAACTATTCTTATATTTTCTCAAACTAATTACACAACAATTATAATACAGATATTATTATCTGTCTAAAAGTTACCACCTCCGATTTATTTTATATATAATTTTAGCCAAATAAGTTTATTGCAAAATATGCTTCGCTCTTGAAAATAAAAAAGACATTTGTTCTTTCTCAATTATATTTTTGCTATAATATTTATGCGATTTACTAAAAAGTCTTTCAAAAGTTATTATTCATTTTGAGGAGAGATAAATGGCAATCTAATCAAATAACCCTTATGATTAATATTATTTAATAATTTTCTTAATGAATATATTAAAATTAAAACGATATTCAAAACGAATCAGAGATGATAACAAGAATCAGAGTGACTAAGAATTGAAGATGGTGTATATGAATCGGAAATGATCTTAATAAATATTGTGAACAAATATTCTTATGACATATTTTACACCAATAATTATAAATTCATGTGAGTTTTGCGGATATTATTAATGCGAGAGACAAAAGAAATAATCAAATATTGAATTAGAAGATCGAATCGCATAAGTAACAAAGATTTTTATTCGAGATTATTTTTATTCAATAAGCTATACTTATTTGTTTCGGTTAAAAATATAATTATTTGCATTAAATGTATATATATATATATATAAAAAAAAACTTTATTGAATTACTTAATCACGATAAATGTTTAAGTATGATATTACTTAATCATATTTATAATTAAATACCGATGCGGGCAAGTATATAACCATACCCGACCAAAAAAGGGGAATTACTAAAAGGAGCGTGATGATTCAAGCACTAAAAGGAGCGTGATATGGATTCTCTAATGAGTATTGTTGTAATCTTAGTTTGGGATGGGAGGGAAACAGAAAAGAAATTAAGGACCGTTTGGCCATACATTTTTTCAAATTTTTTCCAAATGTTTCACGGTAAATATCAGTGTTTTAAAAGGCGTGGGCGTAAGGCGGAGCATTTTACATATGTCTCAGCGGGGCGTAAGTCCCGAGGTGCGGGGCGTAAGCCCCATAGGTATTTAATTTTTAATATTTTATAAAATAATATAATGACAGTTAATATTTATAAACAAGTAAAATTGCATAAAAATTGAAGAAAACTATATATATGTGTGCCCCATCCTCACAAAAAACTAATTAAAATAATCTATTATACGTTACTTACAAGCACAAGTAATTTGAGTTTAAAAGAATAAAGTTTTCTATATGGAGGAACAAAAAAGATGATTAACCTGCAATTTGAACTTTGAATTTACTGCTACGAAGAAAAATGTAGTTCTCTTTGTATTTGTAAAAAAGATTAAATATTTATTACTTTTGGGAGATATTAGCAGACTAGCGGACAAGATAAAAAATTTAAAAAATCATGAATTAGCGCTTAAATTAATAAAAAAGGTCTTTACTTTTAAATTTAATACTTTTGAGTTTCTTTTTAAACCTTTTGAGTAATTACCAAACTGACTTTTGAGAATTTGGGTATTATAAGAAGGACTAATTCAATAAATTTTGTTTTAATTTGAAAAAGTCCTTGGGGCTTACTCCTTACTAAAAAAATGCGCCCCGAAAGCCCGGGCGTACGCCCCAAATTGCGAGGCGTACGCCTCTTGAGACTTTCGCCCCACACTATCGCCCCGGGGCGCTTTTGGTACGTCTCGCCCCGGGGCATTTTTGGTACGCCTCGCCCCAGAGCTCGCCCCAGAAACGCCTTTTAAAACAGAGGCAAATACATGTGTTGTTCATAAATTTTATTCATAGTTTGGTAAATTCCCAAAACTCAAAATCCAAATCCCAATTACTATTATATTTTTTTTAAAATTATCCCAAATTTTTATATTTTATAAAAGAGCCCACCATTTATTATTTTGTAACAATGTTGTTTCGTCTTCTCGGTCATCTGATAGTGTAGTTCATTATAAAAATGATAATTTTGTACTAAATTTATTTATGTTCAGGACTATGGTTTGTGATAATGATAATGAATGTTATTGATGAAGGTATTGTTGGGTGTGATAGTTTTTAGAACTTGTGGTATAAGTCATGTTTCATATTTTTTTTTTAAAATGAAATATGTTTTGAAAATTAATGTCCAAATACATTTTCATCTTCAAACCAAACTTCACCCAAATCAGATTTTTTAAAATAAATTTGGGAATCTATGGTCAAACGCTAGCTAAAATGGAAAAAAGGTAATAATAGACTAAATAGACTCCATAGTGCAGGGGCGGCCCTTCTCTAAAGCAGGTAAAGCAACTGTTTTAGGCCCCATATTTGTGGGGGCCCATTTTTTGTTACACCTAATAAGCTATATATAAGTTAAAAAGAAAAGTTATATGAAGTGAAAATGTTTGATTTTTTTCTTTAACAAATATAGAGAAAGAAAGATTTGCAACTGCTATGATTTTTGTTAAGGAAATTGCATTTGAAATGAATATCAAATCCGAACTTTCTAAGAAACATATGATATATAGGAAGAAACAATTTGATAAGAATGTTGATAATGAAATCTCAAAATCTCTCGAAGAATCTTTTAGAGTTGATTGCTTTTTATACATAGTAGACAAGGCTATTTTTTTTACCTCAAAATAGATTTGAACAATTCGAAGCATATGAAAATATTTTTGGTTTTCTATTTAGCGTTAAAAAATGAGATCACTAGATGAGAAATTTGAAAAAATAGTGTCTTAATCTTCAATGTTCCTTAAAGCAAAATAATCAATCTCATATTGATGGTTTGGATTTATTTTTTGAATTAAAAGTGTTAAGGAAAATAGTACAATTAGAAGATAATAGTTTAATTGATATACTCAATCAAATAAAAAGATTTGATTATTTTTCAAATGCCTAAATTTCTTATAAAAAATGTTAATAACTTATGTTACCGTTGCTTAAGCGGAAAGAAAATTTTTAAAATTAAAATTGATAAAATCTTACCTAAGATCAAAAATGTCTCAAGAGATGTTAAATGGATTAGCTATATTATCAATTGAGAAAGACTTATTAGGAGAAATTGATTATAAAAAAATTATTAATAACTTTGCATCTAAAGAAACTAAAAAAAATAGACTTCAAATAAAAAAATAATAACAGTATATGTTTTACAAAAAAAAAAAAAATTAAGCCCCTCATAAAGTTTGGCTTTAGGCCACAAAATTCGTCTGGCCGCCCATGCCATAGTGTAGCTCATCATGATTTTCTATGTGCGAAACAATCTTAGTAAGTACTAATTTTCTCAATTTAGTAATGTTTCTTGTTTAGGCAAACATCTTACTTTCATGGATCATGGTATATTCTAGTTGGAGATCTTGGTCCCTTATTTATTGTACAGTTGTATCATTTTTTTGTGTAATAACTTTGCAAATTACACTGTAAGGTAAATCACACTAGGCATATCTTGTGCGACAAGCTCGACCGAAAAAGTATGCAAGTGAATTTTAAACCCTAGACCTCCCATTTAGAAGGTCCCAGCTCAACCAACTCGGCTACCCCAAAAGGTCATCTATATCATTATTAATAATACTTCTTCATCTATTAAGGGCACATTAACTAATTTCAAATAATAGACGGATATGTTTGCCATTTTAGAATGATACATTTTTATTTACAAAATAAATTATTGATTAAAAAATAGAATAGCAAACATAGTGCTAACTCTTGCCGCTTGCTAGCTCTTACTGTTAGGTTTGTGATGCGATGAATAGAATTTCTCCATCTTTAATCGAAGATTTCATATCCAAGATCTGATGATATAAAAATCTGATAGACAATGCTTCTTAATTAATGGGTCTTACGCGGTTGCACATCCAAATTAATTAGGCCCCAAAACGGATATATCGAACGCCAAATGAAAACAAAAATGCTAGATTTTCAACTATTTTTTGCTTGATTTGATTTATGATCAAAGAATGAAACATATGGTAGAAGCTATCCTCATGGCTCATCAATTGTTTTTACGGCTTCCAAACTCGCCTAATTTTAATTATTTATTTTTTGGTAAAACAATGAGGTATTACCATAGAGAGCCAAATGTTTACACCTATTGAGCAATTCAGATAGATCTCCAAAGCCTCGAACAAAGAAAACATCACTCAATTAATTACATAGTTGATGCCTCAAATAACTACATCTACTTGCTTTCCTAGAGTATTTCAGATGGTCTACCCTCTTTACAATCTCTTTCTTTATCTACATAAACACAACCTTAGTATTTATATTTATCCTTCAAAAAAGTTTCTAATTTCGAGCCTTCCATGTGTGGTAGAGCTTTGCACCCACATATTGTTGCTGCTAATTCCTTCTTGAACTGTTTTCAATGTTTGTTGTTATCCATTTCATGCATTGAGTTGTCCCCTTCCTCTATATTCTGATATCCGACCACGTTTCCAGTTCATCTTGTAATTTCAATGTCCAATTACACTCAGAAAAGAGGTGTAGCTGGTTTTCAGCCTTGCTCTTATCATATAAGCAGCACATTCCATCATATACTGGTATATGAAGTCTGATCAACATCTCTTTTGTTAATAATTTCTCTTGATTAGCCAAGCATACTATAAACCTATGCCTAGGTAACATAATGTTGTTCCATACCAAATCAGCTTCTAACATTTTTTTCCATGCTTCCCAGTAAACTAATATAGCTTCTACTGACAGAATATATATCATTTGTTGGTAAACAGTAGGTGCCATTATTGTACCAATTTGTCATAGCTAC